ATGCCTTGCTGATGAAGGCATTGCATGATGCACATAATACAGTATCTGATTTCCCAGTGGGGCTGGAGCATCTGGATAACACAATAGAGACAGATCGCTTGCCTCTTGTTCTGCTCAAGTGTGTGGGTGGAACAAAGATTGGATGCTGGCTTTTTCTCAGTGTCAGTGCACTAGAGTTCCCCCTGTAGAGACAAAAGAACGGTGACATTCTGTCGTTGTGGCACAACAGCGGAAACCTTCAAATGACGTGTGTGTCACGGACAGACCCAAACAGCATCACAAAGCAAATCATGAGATAATCTGGGTTTAAATATTGTGGGCTAAAAGGAAGCTAACAGGACAGTCTAGGCTCATAAATTAATTACCATGCTAATTGGCTAAGTGTGGGGTTTGAATGTGAGCTCTGTTACACAAACACTGAAACATGGCAATTATTCAGTGGTTGTTGTGAATTTGAATCTTCCACCGTAATGAATTCCTCGTTAGCTGTTTAGTTCATTAATCTCTGTCTGCTTGTTTAACAGGCAGTGGTTGCAGCATTGTGCACTGGTGTCTTTTGGGTATTTTTTTTCCCTTAAGACTCAGTGAAAAGATCTGTTTTACTTTAGATGATCTATCCTAGAGGAACTGTAAAACGTCAGTTAGCACCATGTGAGTAGCACTCACTGTGAAAGCTTTAGAACACATACAGTATGATCAGTCAGGACTAAGCACTGTGTCAGAATGTGCTACACAGCAAATTCAACATACTACTTTCCCACGGTGCATTTTGAATAGGTTTTGGTCCAGGTTTTACTGCAGAATGCAAATACAAAAATCTGATGAATGAAGTTTTTTTTCCCCCCCAAAAGTAGATCTCTTTCTAGCTAAATACAGCAAAATGTTTGTATGAAAATGTCCTCATTAAAAGAACGAACCTATGAGCTTGTACTAACATTCTCTGAATATCTGTGGAGAGAATGTGCTCTATCAGAGCATTTGCTAATCAATCAAGGTTCAGAGTTCTGCCTGTTGCTCCCCAGCCGATCGCTCACCCTGAGAGAAAAATCACAGGCTACTTAAGAATATGTGCACTTTGGTGAGCTGCATATGCTACCAAAAATTAATTATGAATGGTTAATGCAAAATGTTGAATATTGATATACGTGTTGTTCCTTTGGAAAATGGAGTCAGCTTTACAAACAGAACAAAGTTGGAGAGGCTGATGCCTGTGGCAACTGTTAATGCAACAATACAGGACACTCATAAAATGGAGCAAAGTGGAGGCTTGGACATGGAGGTAGATGCCTATAACGCTTTGCTGTAGACTATCAGAGTATGGACAGGCCAGCGAAGGCACAGGGATACTAAAACTCACCGCTTGGTAGGCAGTTTGTTAAGCATGTACAGGCTATATAGTACATGCAGCTGCCTGCTTTTTCTGATCAGTTGCCAACTGTGAAATGTTCACTGTGAAATGAAGGTGTTTCAGTCTTTGCTGTTCACCTTTTTTTTTGGATGACACATTATTTTGTTGACTTTCTGTATTTACCGTGGGTTCAGGTTGGCAAATGGCATATGAACAGAGACCATCAGGCACAAACCGGCACTTTGCTGGTCGGATTTTGGAGCACACCCACAGCCAGAGGGACTGGATGGTAAAAAAAGCAAAACAACTGCACATGTTAAGTTTTACCTGAGCTGTTAGTGCTTGTTCTCAGCCAGGAATCAATCCTTTTGCTGTCTATGCCCAGAAGGCACAGAATGCACCCTGCAGTCAAATTTTGAATGAATAAATCAAGATCAAAGTTCACCTCATGTTGCAGTATCATGAAAACAAGCATAACATTCTTGCACAGTTAAATGCTCAGTACTCACTTTGAATCATCCTGTAGTTCAGTAACACCTTTAGACTTGATATAAAAACATCTTGTAATATGATGGTCTGTGAATCAATGTGCTCCTTTTTTAAAATCAGAAATAGGGTTTTATATCTTTTTCCTAATGTTTAAGTTTACGTGGCTGCGCAGTTTATAATGTACAGGTACAGACCTGCAAGAACCAAGCTGACAGTTAGGAGCTTGTCAGGATGAGTGGGTGTTATTGACGCTCTCTAGCTAAGAGTTTTGATAGCAAGCCCCCAAGTCCCCCCACCCCCATGTGGAGAGAGGGGCCTCTTGCTTGTCCTTGTGAAGAAAGACATTCCTTTATTCTATTGGGCACGGGTGTCATTATCTCCATAAC